GTTTGGCGTAACTTCCTAACTCTTGCTCCCTCTGGCTATAAAAGTCGTTTAGTACAACTCCTCAGAGCTCCCTTCTATGTGCTAGAGAGAGCTGCCCAATTCAAATCAGTTTTTGCTCAAATGAATTCTTAAATTTTAAATTCGTCTCAGTTTATCTTTTAACATGAATGATGGAACAATGGACTGTCAACTTCATTGACAAAGCTACTGTAGAAAAGGAAAGAACAAATAATTAAAAGAACTTAGAAACAAAGTTAGACAGGAAAAGTAATTGGATGAAGATAAATGTAAATAACTTTTATTTTTACAAGGTTTTAATGAAAGCACTTATCTGCCAAGATAAGTTTAAAACTTTCATTAAGGTTTTAATGAAAGCACTTATCTTGGCAGAGAAGAAAGCTATTTATCTGTAAGTTGCAAGCTTAATTTGTGATGTACAGAGAAAACAGTTTTTAGTAAAATACACATAACCAGAAAATGTTTCTTTCCCTATTTTGCCGTAAGAGGAGATATATAGATGTGAAAGCACTTTATAAACTTGAAATGCCTTGCAAATAAATCTATTGCCATTATTGTCAGATTATCCCATTCTACTGCTGGTAACAGCTATGTAACTTGATGTCTTATATTTACACAAAAAGTAAAGTTCCAAGAGTTTTGAAGATACTCTCATTCTCATTATATTTAGGCAGTGATATGTGTCCTGGTTGCCAAATGCAGACAACGGCCTAGTGTGATAACCCCATGTCAGCCTTAGAATGCTGTACTCTTGAAAATACAATGCAACTTAAATCCACAATAGATGAAATCTTTTTCTTACTTCAGATACAGGAGAAGTGTTAGGAAACATCTAGTGCTCTACTGCTTTTAAAAGACCCCCCAAAAGAGATGAAAAAACATAAGTAAAAACCTAGCTTCTGTAGCTGTGTGAATTTAGCTGCTCTAACTTCTTAAAAATCCTAAAACTGCCCAGACAAGGTATTGGGTCAGGCCAAATGGATGATGCCTCACCTGACTCATCAGCTATCACTGATAAAGTGAAGTGAGATGGAATAGTAGGCACAATATAATTCAGCTTTTTCTCTGTGGCCTAATGCACCTAGAATTTGGCATCACTCTTTTACACCGGAAATATACAAGATCATTAGGGGCCAGGAAGTCTTGGGGTTTTACTCTAACTTCACCACTAACTTAAGAATGTGATATCAGGCTAGTCACTTAACCTGCACAAACGTCAAATTTCTTATCAGTAAAATGTGACTCAATGAGATAATGAATTTGAAAATACTTTGTAAAACTAAAAGTACCAAGGAAATAGTTCTTCCATCCCAAAAGATCATCATTAAAATTTACCATATGGAAGAAAAGCACACATGAATGAGACTTGACTATGACCCACAGATAGATTTACAGTATTATCACATCATGGAGGACCACAGGTCTGATAAAGACAAAGACTGGGCACCAACCTATGCCTGAGAAAATTCAGGTCTCATGGGAAACACAGAGCTCCTAGCTGAATACTCTGTGGGTGGTATGGAGATTATTCACCAATCTGTCCTAATTTCAAAGGAAGATAACTGTACCTTGAAAAGAGGCCTGTAGAGGGACTAACAAGAGATGCATTTATATGGGCATCAAGCGCCAGTCTAAATTAAAGTTTTATAAAGCAATGAGAAAGGGTCAGAAAGAAAACATTCTTGCAGGAGGTGGAGTCCTTGAAAGTCAGCTTTGATGGATAAACAGTGCATGCATCTGACTGACCAATCTCTTTGGTAGGCAGCTTCATAGACTAGGGCTTTCCTTTTTAAAGAACTTCGGCTACTCCTGAATCTAAGAGGCTGAGTCACAAACAATGCTTAGCAATGAAAATAGCTTCTTATTGAATTGTAGAATTTTATTTTCAAAGGGGAAGTAGGGGGTGTGACACATGCAGTAGCCTGCAATCTGCCACTGTCTTTACCACCACTGTAGCCAGAAAAGCCAGCTGATGTGTCAGACATGTTAAAAAGTGAAAGTATGCTACAGCGTATGGTAGCTTTATCCCCAAGCGTATCAAGAAAGAAATTATAAGGCCAGCTTCCATAATGGTGCCTGTTATGCAATAATAGGGATAAGCCAGGTGCTTGGGAACTCAATTTTCTACAGGGTCCCATAAATGTAGCCATATATTGACCCATTCTCTAATGGAAATAGCTGGAGAAATAGAAATATCATGACTATGAGAACATCAAAGGCCTCATTGGAAAAGCCCCCACACAGAAAAAATGTGTGGGCCTGAATTCTTCCATTCTGGAAGGGTAAAGGCCTGAGCTGATGATGCTGGGATGAAACACTGAAGTCATTAAAGAAGCAAAACAAGTATAATAAAGTTGACCCACAGATCATTAAATAGCCTTTTCCCTTAGCACTAATGTTAATTTCATAGTTTTGATTTGAAAGATGTGGAGAGACATTTGGCATTTTTTAGTAATAAAAAGAAAAGGTCATGATCATTTGTTCCTAACTTATCTCTAATCTTTTCTAAAAAATCATTGATTCCTAATCTGTCTTTTCCTTCATTTTTTTTCCACCTGAGGAACTATTTAATGCTTATTTTTAAATTTTACAAAGATGTTTTATATTCTTCAGTTACCTAATGCATAAATAGTACTAAACCATTTTTTTTTGTAGTACAAATGCTTCTTAGAATGGTTAACCATTCCTGCCTACTACACGCTTCCTAAACCTAAATTTACATATCTACAGTTTAATCAAGTTGTCAAAATCCAGTTTGAAGTTATATTCCTTCCTCAAAATTCTTTATATCCACTTCTCTTGAAACAACAATTTTTATGTTTTACCTAGGATTATGCTCGTCTATGTACAAGTCTTCTGTATTTCACATCAGGTTCATTAAGAAAGAATACAAAAGGTAAAAGTGGCCTTTGCAGTCAGAATATTCTGGTTTCAAATCCTTCTTCTGCCACTTATTGGCAGTAAGGGCTTCATGACCTACAACAAATTAGTTAACGTATCTGAGACTCAGTTTTATTATCTGCAAAATGGGAATCATCACTTCACAAACTAGGCTGTGTTTGTTTTTCTCCTTTCCTATTATACCTGAGGTGCTAGATAAATGTGTTTCTAAAGACTAGACACAAAATGAGTAAGGCAGTAAAATTGGAGGAGTTATAAGCAATCTCTTTGAGGAAGGGTTACAAGTTTGAGTTATAGGTATGTACTTGTGCCATCATCATACCAAAGCAGCTAGTGCATTATACTGAGGACACATTAACACACGCCCTAAGAGTCCCACCTAGTGTACTGACTTTAAAAATATCAATATGGGGATACCTGGGTGGCACAGCGGTTTGGCGCCTGTCTTTGGCCTGGGGCGCGGTCCTGGAGACCCGGGATCGAGTCCCACATCGGGCTCCCGGTGCATGGAGCCTGCTTCTCCCACTGCCTGTGTCTCTGCCTCTCTCTCTCTTTCTCTGTGACTATCATAAGTAAATAAAAAAAAAATTAAAAATATCAATATGATCTTATTTCAGCACTATTATTTTATACAGTATCCTAGATGCTGTAGTGGATAAACCTAAGTCTATTAAAGAGGTGAAACATAACAAGTAGAAATTTGTGGATTGGCTTACATACAGCACATAAAAAGTCTATTATAAAACTAGCATCAGCACCCTTGGGTGCAAAGCATTTTCTGAGTATTTGTCATGAGTTGTTTATAGTACTTTACTCATTGTTTCATAAAAGGTGCTCCAAAATTGTAATGGATACCCCTTCTTAGTAACTTCTGTCAATTTAATTCTGGCCTCTGTATATCATCTTGGAATAAACGAGCCCAAATATCCTTTCTCTGAGTACTGCTTTTACTCCACAAGGCACATATACACACAAACACTCCCCACCCCATGACCCACCTCAGCTTCCTGGGCTGTTTATTACCATAACTTTCTCAGCTCCAGCCACATTACTTAGGTCAGTATTGGCACACCTCAAGCTAGCCAGATCATTCTCCTAAAGAATGTACAAATAGTGTCTAGAAGTTTGTTAGTAAGCTTCCTACAAACAAACTTGGTGATCCCTTTGTTCTCCCTGAGACCAAGAGGAAGAAAAAGCATCCCTGGTACTGGTGACATTCCAACTCAACTTATATCCCCTTGATGCCCAGCAAAAATAATAAAGCAGCAAAAATATATTTGTCCAAACCCTCTTCCCCAAAACTAACATTAGTAGTACCCTTGCATGCATGCAAACCCTTTTCTGGTATATATTTGTTAAACATCATATCCATTTTTAAAAATGTATAATAGATACTAAGAGATTAAAACAGATACAAGAAACATTAAAACTAAAATAGCACAAAACTGTACCTCAAGCTCAATGAGTATTTTATGTATTCTAATCTCAATTTCTCTAGCTGATTGTGTAAGTAGTAATCTATCATGTATGCATTAGCGCAGTCATTGTGTAGATCAAAAGGTAAAACCATCCTAAACAGGAAACCAATATTCTTCCTGTTTAATCAACAAATCTAAAAATTTATTCTTTTCAACTATTTACTCTTGTCCACCACACCATAGTGCTCCACATGTTCATCATTGTTTTATGACAGAGAGAAAATTTTCATGAGCCACTTTTGTATCCCCACCCCCTTAAAGAAAGAGGGAGGAAAAATTGTTTCATACAGAAGGCGTTAGTTGTATGAATTACAACTGCCACCTAAGTGTGGGCTCCTGTAACCAACAGGGATTTTACCTACATCCATTCAGTCAGTTTATGGGGGTTTAAAGAAATTCCAAAGAGTCATCAGAAGAGGAAAAATAAAGGTAATGCTTTTTGCCACACAGGTAGAATCTTTGAAAATATGTGTAATATGTAAAACATTTTGACACCCCCATAAATATTTTTCCAGAATTAACAGTATAAATTGCTTCTCTTGTTCAAGAGCTTCCTATCAGCCTCTGTAATCACTACTCACAGTAACCTCAACTCCTGCCACAATGTACAAAATGCAACTCTTGTCTTGCATCGCACTGACGCTTGTACTTGTCGCAAACAGTGCACCTATTACTTCAAGCTCTACGAAGGAAACAGAGCAACAGATGGAGCAATTACTACTGGATTTACAGTTGCTTTTGAATGGAGTTAATGTGAGTATATTCTATCTCTTACTAAAATTACAATTTTTTGAACTGGAGTTCATTTTTTAATGAAAATATATTATGCTTTCTCAGAATTATGAGAACCCCCAACTCTCCAGGATGCTCACATTTAAGTTTTACACCCCAAGAAGGTAAGTACAACTTATGTTCAATTTATGTCTTAATAAGATTCAAATATGAAAAGTTGTAGGTGATTAGGCTTATAACTCCTCATCTGAGAAAAAGAATCAGTAAAATCAATATTAAAAAAAACAATTTGGTAATGAAGCTTCTGTAAAAAAGCTTTGCCTATATATTTTTTTAAATGTATTTGTGTGTGTTTTGGGAGGGGAAGAGACAAGAATAACATTCCCAGTTTATTAATGGGACAGTTTTAAAAGATTATGTTGACTGATTATTTAAAAATGTAAAACTTGAGAGACATTTGATTATATCATTTTACCATGCAAATTATCAAAATTGATTTCAGAGAAGCCAATTTTTAAAAATCCTTTATTGTTTTAGGAAAAATTCCTAATGGTCTATCTTTGAGAGGTAGCCTACTTGTGACCAATAGCATAGTCTCTAGGGCCAGATTACCTGAACTGAAATCCCAGTTATGTCATGTCTTAGCTTTTGTGACCCTGGGCAAGTTACCTATTCTCACTTTCTTATCTACTTAAGTGAATGATGATTTTATGTACTTCATATAGCTTTGTGAGGATTAATGGGTAAATGTAAAGTACTCAGAATAGTGTCTGACATAGGTAAATATATTATAAGCATTAGCTATTGGTAGTAGTAAAAACAGAATTCTCCCTGGGAGTATTATAAAGTAAAATTCTGGACTTATGCATCCTTTATGCCAATAGATCTAGAGGCTTATGATGCTGTATGACTTGTTTTCCAAGATTTGTTCATTTGGGGATTCAGATAGATAAACACAGATTATTCAGATAGATAACACTCCTACACCTATACTAGGAGTATAAAATTTCCTAGTAGTTGTGCCAGTAAACAGAATAAACGTAACTTGGTTCTAGAAATCCAAGCTCAGAATGCAATTTCATTCATCTCATATTCACTGAAGGAAATTATGCTTCCAACTACTCTTTTGAAAGATAAAAATAAGAGATGTCTCTTCAACTTAATCAGAGCTACATAACTCTTTAACTCCAGCAATATTAACACACTAGACTGTTTCCTGAGGAACAGCTCCAATTTGCTATGCCAGAAACTTAAGCCCTGAACTTGTAGTAGCAAGTTGAAAGTGCAGTGGATGGAAAGGTCATAAAATGCGTGTGGTGTAGTCCTCTCTCTCCCTTTAAAGATTTTTAGAAAGATGAGATTATGTGCATAATTTGAGGGTGGCAAAATTCTTTGAAAACTAAGTTTCTAAATGACAACTCAAAATCTATTTGAAACCCAAAGTAATGTGATAAACTCCATTCATTTGCTCATTTTACCACCATTCTATGTTTGCAAAAAAATTTTAGAAAGTTATAAAAACATTTAATTCAAAGGATGCTATGTTAGAGCTACAAAGAGAACTAAAATGTAATGTTGGCTCCACCTAATCATATGACCTTGGGAAAACACTTAATTCTGAGATTTAGTTTCCTTATTTGTAAAATGGAGACAACACTGCATTGCTCTATCTGTGCCTGTGAGACTTAAATGGTCTTATTTAGAAGACGACACTTTAAAATTATAATGTACCGGAAAAGTATGAAATACTACCATTAAAATAGGCCACATGGATGGATGAGTGTACAGATCTAAATCAGGTAGGCCACCCAAAAGCCCTTCAAATATTCTAACCTTTTATTTGGTTGTGACACAGAATTTGAAAAAATGCATTCGAATACACTTATAGAAGAGTAAAAAATTAGGACAGTTATAGGACTTGCTATATTGAAAGTCTCTACAGTTACAATTGCCTAATCTATAAAATGCTGGGACTACGGCAGTATCCAAGCATTCCTGTATCCTTAACATCCTATGATTCTTAACTATCATGAAATATTAGAATCATACAATGTGATCCTATACTTCCATGCTGTGGCTGCTCTAGTTCTAATTTCTACAGACTAGAATAGAATTCTGCCTATGTCTGTGATTTGCATTTGAGTACAGAGATGTTTGCCTTTGGCAAAGCCAAATTAAGCTGAAATTAATGACTCATTATTTAATATTCATTTATTCATTCACTTATAAAGATTCTGAGAGAGTACATGAGCATGTGAGGATCATAAATGGGGGAGGGGCATGGGGGGGAAGAAGACTCCTCACTGAGCATGGAGCTGTATGCAGGGCTCTATCCCAGGCCCCTGGGATGATGACCTGAGTCGAAGCCAGAGCTTAACTACTGAGCCACCCAGGCACCCCTCATTATTACAGATTTAATGCTAACATGGGTAGGTGAACTCTAGTTTTTCCAGTCTTATAAACTATACTGGTCCATCTACACTGTAATGCTGAGAAGAGGGAGAATAAAAAACTGCCCTTAATAAAAGAAATTTGAGATTAATTTGATTACCTTTAGGGAAAACTGACCTGGTAATTATTTTTATTACTATTCAAGGCCACAGAATTTACACACCTTCAATGTCTAGCAGAAGAACTAAAAAACCTGGAGGAAGTGCTAGGTTTACCTCAAAGCAAAAACGTTCACTTGACAGACACCAAGGAATTAATCAGCAATATGAATGTAACACTTCTGAAACTAAAGGTAAGGCATTACTCTATTTGTTCTCCTGAAAATAAAATAAATGGAAGGGCATTTTAAAGTGGTATAACATTTTTATAATTTGGCAAAATTCTCATGCATTTTAAAACCAATGTGAACATGAATCATTTTTATGCTAGATGATATACTATGGAGCTGGGAAGTATAATCTATTTCTTCCATCCACCCAGGGATAAGTCTGTAACCTAACATTCTGTTACCTCTCTCTCATATTAAAACTGGGAGTGGGAGAGACAATTGAATTTCACAAAAAGCAGGCAGGTTTTGTTGCATATTTTCTTTCAGATCATTTTCCAGAATAGCCAATATGGATTATCTGAAAGGCTTTCTTTTTTTAAATTTATTTATTCATGAGAGACACAAAGAGAGAGGCAGAGACATAGGCAGAAGGAGAAGCAGGCTCCCTGTGGTGAGCCTGATGCAGGACTCGATCTCATGATCCCAGAATCATGACCTGAGCCAAAGGCAGACGCTCAACCATTGAGGCACCCAGGCATCCCTACCTGAAGGGCTTTTAAAATGGGAGTTTTTCGGATTCCTGGGTGGCTCAGTGGTTCAGTGCCTGCCATAGGCCCAGGGCATGCATGGCCCTGGAGTTCCTGGATGGAGTCCCACATCAGGCTCCCTGCATAGGGCCTGCTTTTCCCTCTGCCTATGTCTCTCTCTCATGAATAAATAAATAAGATCTTAAAAAAAAATATATATATATACATATATATGGGGTTTTCCTATTACTTAGTGGAATGATTAAGAGATTTATCTAAAAAAAAAGGAAATTATTAAAATGGCCAATGGGCTAGATAATTAACTCCTCATTTGGAGGTAATACTTTCAAGAACTTAAGTATTTTTAAATGCACAGGAAATATTAGATACACAAGGGACTTAGGCAATATGAAGAAATTCTTGGCTCTGTTTTCTCATCCCATCTACCAAAGTACAAACTTCATGAGTTAACAGCCATCCTACATAAATAGAACAAAGTTTCTAAAATTATCCCAGTTGTTTCCAAATAAGTCATTGTATTAGTACAGTTTCTTTCCATGTAATTAAAAAAATACATTGAAATCGATGGCCTCTAAATACTGATAGACAATATATATGTCAGAAGGTTTGTTCCAGAATTTCTGACCATCAGAAAACTCATTCTAAATTCTTGATGCAAAATTAAAAATATGTGAAAGTCAGAAATGTGTTTCAAAAGCCAGCTATTTTAAAAAATTTAAATCTTCCCAAAAGGTCATAATATTTAAATTATTATATGTAAGTATTCCCTTTAAACTGTACCAGTTTAAAGGGAATACTTATCTTACTTGGTTTATATTTCCAGAATAGGAAGTACCTCAATTTGAAAAAGCCTTTTCTTTTTTCTTGTTATAGTTCAAAATATTTTGTCAGCTAGAGGCTGAGTTGAAATAGCTCCTATCAGCAGAGGAGGTTAATTTCTAACAAGTCAGTCCACAAACAAAATTTCTATTGTTTAGAGTTTTAAAAGTTGGGAAACTTGCATGCATTGATGCTAACTAAGGTGGAGTGAAGTCAGTATGAATATTTATAAAAACGTTCTTCACACAAATTTCTTCCAAACAAAAGGTTGTCCTGACTCTGGGCTGGTTCTATCTTGCTTTGGGGAATTATAAGGAGATTCACTAAAGTTAATATACAGAATATTACGGTTTTAAAAAGTATAATGAGTCTATTACTGCATACATGTAACCCATATATAGATACATGCCCAGAGGAAGAAAGGTTTAACAAATTTATTTTGCATGTAACATTTAATGAAATATTTTTCTAGAACTGTTTTTATTGAAAATGTTTACCTGTATACAATTCAGGAAAAAGAATTCTTGTGTTCACTGAGATTGAAAGAATTGACAAATGAGGAAAATCTTGGTTTATATGCTATCATCACTTGTATCAACATATAACTTTTTGGCATGTATTTTGATTTCAATAAAATGTGAATGATTAATATATTAAACATATTAAAAATAAAGGCCATAAGCTATAAGTTATTTGAGAATAACTATATATCAAAAACTACTCTGAACTAAAAAAATTAAAATTTTTCTTTTATAGGGATCTGAAACAAGTTACAACTGTGAATATGATGACGAGACAGCAACCATTACAGAATTTCTGAACAAATGGATTACCTTTTGTCAAAGCATCTTCTCAACACTGACTCGATAATTAAGTGCCTATTTAAAATGTATCAGGCTATTTATTTAAATATTTAAAATTTATATTTATTTTTTGATGTACATTTTGCTACCTTTTGTAATTATTATTCTTATACTTCATATGATAAATATGGATCTTTTAAGATTCTTTTTGTAAGCCCTAGGGGCTCTAAAAACTCACTTATTTATCCCAAAATATTTATTTTTTATATTGAACTATTAAATATGATGTCTATGTAGATCAGTTAATAAAATTATTTAATAAAGTTGATGAATAAAAAGCCAAGCCATTTATTATCCTGGAAATAGTACAGAGTAAAACATTTCTGAATTACTCATGTGAACACATAAGATAGTTAAGATGCTTACAAAAGTCACTCTTTCCCTGGAGAGGTATGTGGAATAGGGAAATGGGCTTCTCAAAGTTCTTGCTTTCTCCTTTCCCAAGCTGACTGGATCCTTAGTTCTAATCTAAGAAAAAGCCTCATCAAATTATACTACTTTCCTTCTTCATGTTATGCCTTTAACAAGATTCTAATAATATTATAGAAACTCTTCATTTAATTGGTGTGCCTCTATCCATTTTCCATCATCTTATAACTTGCTGTCAGGAGGCTGACCTGTATAACATATATTAAAGGTCTCCCCTGTCTTCTGGCTTTCCAATGGGTCCCACTACTGGGGAGCTCTGGTAGGACAGAAGAGATCCCCTGACTCTCTGTGTGAAGCCTCTGGATGGCTGTGCCTCCCAAAGAATCCAGTTTCTCTCAAGACTTTTTCCTTCTGGGTTCTGCTAACTTCCCTTCTACTCCTCCTTTCAGCCCTAGGGTATAGTAACACTTCTACCATTACTGGCTCTAGCGTACTGCATTATCCCTTGCATTAACCCTATACTATGACCACAGTTTGGTAAATGGTCTATTAGATCTTCCTTGACTTATTTTGAGTATGCCATCTCTTTTCTGGCTCAAACACAGTAATCATACCAGAAATAGCCCCAAGAAATAGACCATCAAGATCAGATCTGGGACTGGGTTCATTAGGAACATAATGATCTATGGGATGTACTAGCATCCTGATTACTCTAATTACCATCAATGGTAGCACAAGGTGAAATGCAGATTGAGAGCGTGATGTGAGATCAAATGGTCATGACATTTAATTGCTACAATAAGAACAGTTATAAAAATTATGATTATCACTTAAATTCTTCTGATGGTCTCAGATAAGAGAGATGTTAAAAATGTTATGGATATACAATTAAATACTTGCAGGCAGTTTTGAAGGAGTCCTTCTTCCGCTGTAGACAGCGCATACGACATAGGACAAAGCCAAGAGCATGATGTAAGGTCTGTAAAGGTATAGTGCCAATTAAAAATTTAAGCCTTCCAGGTTTCTTATAGTAAGAATGGGGAAGAAATGAAACCATGAGATATGAGATGTATTTTGCCAGACACAGAGGCTGAGAATTTTAAATATCCTACTGACAGAGGCAAATCCTTTTCTTTTAATAGTATCCTTTTTGAGGAAAAAAATCACTCCTCTGCTTAAAAACCTTCCAGTGACTCACAAATTAAGGGAAATTTTCCTCAGAACTCACCTCTACCACCTTTCATTGCCTCTAGGCCTAAAATGAAAGTTAAGATCTCAACACTTCTGAGGCAGTAAGATAAAAGGTGTTTTAGACCAACAGAGGTGAAAATTAAGTCATGTGTAGGCTGATTTAATTTAGATGTGTAACTCCCTGGGATTCAGAATTTAATGAGAACTTGCAACGACATTAACAGTTAGTTGAATAAATTCTTGGACTCCACAGTGGCCTTTTTAAATGGTATTTAAATGCTAGAATTTCCCTATAGAACAAAGAGTCCAAAGGACCATGGAAATGGAAATACTGGAATGGATCTATTATGTGCAGTCTTCTCATCTTGCCTAGGAAGGCACTGGTAAGGGGGGACACTGGCATCCATGACAGTTGCGTGGTAATTTTTCTTCATTAAATCCGAAATGACAGATGGTGCTGCAGTGGGATTGGTTTCCCTGATCTGTCCAAGAATAATGGAACCCTGGAGTGATAAAGGCCAGGTAACAGCATTTAGCCCTCAGAGACAAGGTGGAAGCAATCACTACAATAAACTATAGGGCAGAGTGCTAATGATGACTAATGATCACAAAATTAAAAAGACTCTAAATCTGCTGGGCAGAGATAAATAAAAATTACTGTAATTCGTGATCTGTTTCCAGCTCTCAAAATTGAGCCATTTCCTAGACCTGGTCTCCAAGGAGGCTAGATCCCTCTAAGAAAGGGCCCAATAATATGACCACAGATAAATACTGTCAATTTTTCTCCCGAGCCATTTTGGAAGAGCTTTTTGACAAGGAGATTGTTTACTGAGAAATGGAAAATGTCTGGATATTCTGGAAGTTATTTGTTAATGGCTCTAAGTGTACCTTGTTATTCTGAAACTCCATGTGAGCCTCCAGCCTGGGGCTTATGGGGATCACATCGGAGATGGAACATTTGCCTGAGTCCATCTTAAGAGGGTCCAAAGGGATCACAGACCCTACCTGTGACATACCTCTATAGTGGCCAAGGAAGCACGCTGTTTAGGACTTCAAGACACCATAGAGGACTTGCAATCTCTAGCTGTTGTCATTTGCATTTATATGAATAAGCAACAATACCTTAAATGTCTAGTCCCAAGGATATAATCAGTTCTGTTCTGTTGTAATTAGTCTGGAGAGTACTTAACCTTCTTATCTCACAGAATGTCATGCTGGGCCATTACATTAGTGATGTTATGTTAACTAATTTGATGAGAAATAACAGAGGTAGTGCCTGAGCAAGGTAATTGTTTAGCAGAAGGAGAGAGTTAAGTCCTACAAAAGTTCAGGGATGTATCAGGAGATTGAAGTTTCTAAAGGTTCAGTCATTTCATGCATACTAAGAGATTCTTCTAGAGTGGAAGACTACATGATGTGTTTGAACAGCCCACTACAAAGAGGTACAAAGCTTGGTGGGCTTTGTTACTCTGAGCCATCTGGTCAGGGGAAGTAACCCAGTAGGCTGTCAGTTTTCAATGTGGCCCATAGTAAGAAAGGGCTCCTTAACAGGTCCAGGCCTCAATATATATTCCCCAACCACATGGGCTTTATGACCCAGGAGACCCGGAACTGTTTAAGATATTATGACAGAAACGCTGTGCATTGGTTGCTTCTTGGCCTTTTGGCTAAAATCAAATGTATAATGAAAATGCTATCAGAAGTCTCCAGAAAGTCCCTAGTTTTCAGAAAAAAGAAAAGCCCTATTGTGCACATAACACTTGATTTACAAACATTACCTGGCTTGTGACAGAACCCTGGTAGAAAAAAATGCCTGACCACAGGACACCAAATGATTATGCCGCTTGAACTTCCATCATGAGCTAGTCATTAACTGATGTATTGAAACATAATTTGGGTAGACAATTTCATCATAAAATGAAACTGAGTAGGTTTGAACAGGTACAGGAGGGATACCTAAATTGCATAAGCAGTCAATTTAGAATCTCATGGTACTTAATTTAACCCTTCGTCCTCAGTCCATTCTTTTGGCTTCTTGGGGACTTTCCTATCACACATTAAAAGAGAGGAATAGGAACCTAGTTTAAAAATGGATTTGCATCAGATGCTGTTATCAGCCAGAAAATGGATGATCCCACATCTATAACCCTATTCAAAATTGTGCATTTGTCTATTTCATGCGAAAAGATAATGAACGTAGGTATGGATCTAGAACAGAGTGACTTATGGAAAGTGACAAGTTCACTAGATGACCACAGATTTGAAAAAGAAAATGGAAAAATGATGATTAAGAGATGTGGGTAAGTGGTATGTGAATGGACCTCTTGAATGAGCAGAGAATATAAAAATATTAATGTCCCACTATAAAGAAGACTCTCGTTGTTCAAGTGGACAAGGTGACCCTTCTTGTGAGTGCCAGCCAGCTTCTTTCCCTGGCTAATCCAGTGCTTATTCAATAGACCTATGTACAAAGTGGCTATGGCAACAAGGATGGAGATTATGTATGAGTCCAACAACATGGCCATTAACTCACAAACACTGATCTGGTTACCACGACTGTTGAGTGTCCAACCTCCCAAAAGCATAAGTCAATGCATGCTGAGCTTTCAATATGGCACCATCCCCCAAAGGAACCAGCTGGCTGGATATCTGATGGTAGATTGATAGATCCCTATCACTTTGGGGTGAACAGTTTTGTCCTTAAAAGGATAGATCTGTGTTCTGATTCGGATTTTCTTTCTGTGCCTCACGTTCTGCAGCACCATCATTTATGGAATGCTTATCCATTACAACACTGCTTTCAAACAAAGAATATAGTTTATGACAAAAGAAGTATGGTGATGGCATCATGCTTATGGATTTTACTGATCTCACTATGTATTCCATCATTCAGAAACAGTTGGCTTGATAAGGGAGTGAAATGACCTATATTGAAGGTTCAGCTACCATCCATATCTGTTGAAAACAATATTGTGAAGATAAGTTATCATCCTAGAGGATGCACTATTTGTGTTAAACCAGCAACAAATATATGATACAGTCTCCCCTGATGGATTGCATAAGTCTGGCAATCAAGCAGCAGAAGTAAAAGTGGTCCCTCTCATTATCATACTTAATGACTTGAAAAATGTATACCTCCAGTCAATAAAACCTTAGCTTTGTCATTTTTAAGGACCTAGTACTCAAGGAGGCGTGTTTTTACCAGGAATCTTGACTTCTACCAGAAAACTGATTAAATGGAAGCTAAGACTATGTACTGGCCATGTGAGGACTTTCCATGCAGCTGAATTAACAGGTACATAAAGGACTGCTGTACTGGCCAGACTGATTGATTTTGATGACAAGGGGAAATGGAAGTTCCTACTACCAAACAGAGGCAACAGCTACACAATGGGTAGCACTGCATTTGGAACCCAGGAAATCCAGCAGGGCATTTTTCAGCACTCT